TATATAAGGTAACTAAAAGAAGCAGTATAAATGTTAATGATTTTCTGACCAAAAATTGACAAAGTCTGTTAAGTTTTATCAGTATTTTCAGAAGTGATGTTTCATTTGTCTTTTAGTATAAAACACTTTGAATGATCCAAGATAGTAATTTTTCCTCAATTCCAATCTACATGTATTTAATGTGTCAAGTCTTGGAACACATTAGACTGCATTGCAATGGCAGTGTTCACAGGCATGTAGCTTGCTGAGCTTCTCAGGGGGGCTAAATTTTTAACTGGAATTTGGGTCACGGATGGGGATGAGTGTTGATGTGTTAATAAAAAGAATGGAAAAGAATTGACCTACCTTTTTGGATCCATCTTGAATTTATTTCTAATCATCACAGTTTACAACCTGATAAAATAATAAAAAAAAAACAGTGATAATTTGATAATTTATTTATTTTAAGTATGAAACGGGATTAATACTAAAGGTTATAAGAAAATGAAATTTCCTGTCATCCTTTAGAAAAATAATTTTTTAAAAATGTTGGAAATGGCATATTTACTTAACATTGAGGTTGGTATTTAACCCCTATCACCTATAAGTTAAGCCCTTTTTTAGCAGATATCAACTATTCTATATAGTTGACAGTGAAAACATTTTGCTCTGTCATTATGACTGTTTTAAACTTGTAGCTGTACCAGTATTTGACATTTAAGCTTTCAAAGTTCAGAATTCTAGAGAATAATAAATTTACCTAACAACCAATATTAGCTACATTGTATGTGGACTGTCTGAATGGGATGCCAAGTTGACCAGACCAGTTGTAATGGCAGAAGGTTTTCTAGAAGAGTAAGAATTTACTGCTTTGTTTTGCCAAATCAAATTAAGTCTTTAGACTTAACAGGATAAATAAAGCTAAGAGGTTTAAGAATGACTTTGGGACAGTCTTGTACTCCAGCACTCTTTTAGTGTGTAGCATTATACCAAATAAACAATATTAGCTAAATGAAGACACCATTTAAAAACACTTAATGATCTTCACCACAGTTATTATATAATGAACAATCATATCAGTATTTGTTAATTTCCCTTAATTTTAAAATGAAAGTTTCTCATGATGGTTAATGCTCAACATTTTCAAATAAAGAGTTTTTGCTTCTGACCTAAGCCCATGCTTTTTATGAGTTACATTATCATTTTAGTTTAACAACACTTCTTTAAATCATTCGTATCAGTTAAAAGTTTGTAATAATTCCATTGTAAACAAATATTCATGGTTGAACACATATTGCAAACTATTTCGCATACCTCCTGTTGGAGATTCTGGAAAAAACAATTCATATCAAATAATCTTACCACATTGTTAAAAATCCGGAATAATTTGAAGACATTCATAGAACAGATAACTAGGTTACTGGTAAGACTACTTATTAGGTCACATCCGTAAGTAGTATAAGATATAATATAGATATAGTCAACTTAGTAAATACAGCCATAAAATTAGTATATGAATGACAAATACGTAGGATATCTCATGCATAAATTTTTGATAAGTTTTTTATCAATAACATTAAGAAAACTGGCCATGTGTATCGTTTTTCTTAGTTACGCCTATTGATTAATATTTTCAAAACAAATTAGTCAGTGATATATATTCTGGGACAAAATATATAATGATGATGACATTACACTTGGAATCGAATTAGTCACAACAGCAAATCAATAAAAGACTAAAAGACATCATATTTCAGAGGTAAGATACTTATTGTACTTGCTGACCCCTTACAACATCTAGGAGTGCTAGAAATGTCAGATTAAGATAATTTTCAACAGTTTTGGTTCAGTCATCCTATAGTAAAATGCTTCATGTCTCCAGTACAAGAAGTAAAGCATCCAAAATATTTTTCAGAACATAAATCACTTACGAAAATTCGGGTATAGGCCAAACATTACTATCTTAACAAAATTGTCAGATTCATTCATTCACTCATTAATTCATTCAATGTTTCATTCATTCATTTACTTTCATTTTCCATCCAAAAACATTTTTTTTCCATCAATTTCTTGATAGAAAGAATTGCAAACCACTTATTTTTCAATTCTTTGACATCATTCATTCATTCAATCATTCATCCATTTTTAAATAAATGTAGCCTATGGCAGTCTTACCTTCTAATATGAGATTAAATTTTGAAGTGTCCTTAAGTTAAAAATTATAGATATATTGTGGTAAGAAAGCATGTTTTATAATATATGGTTTGAAAAACTCCTCTCATAATCACCCAAAACACATCATAGAAATGACGTATATTTTTAACTGTGACAAACTTTCAGCCAATCAGATGACAGTTGAATAGTCAATAGAGGAGTATAGTGGTGTTTCCTTTTCTCATACTCCTACTTTGAATACACGAAATAAACGTTGATCACACCGAAATATTCCCACTGCTATAGCCTGTCCTTTTCCCTGGTCTTGTGTGGAAAATTTCATGAAATATTAAAACACATTTCTTACTTACTTATATATGCTGATAAGAAATTAGTTGAACTTCAAGTATAGATACAGATGTTAAAAATAAACCTTAACTTAATAACTCTTAATTGAAAGAACATTTTCTAACTGGGATTTAGTATACTACCAAAAAAATTTCTTGAATTGTGAAATTTAAAAGGAAATATCTGGAATGACCTCTGTCATGGATAAGCATTTATAAATACAAACAGAAATTCTAGCATGACAAACGTCATAGGAACCATTATATATAGAATGTTGAAAATAGAAACATGAAAAACAGTTGTTGATGAAATAAACACAGAAAATGATAATAGCATTGTTAGAAGATGTTTTGTCTTATTTTCTCTTTCTGAGGCCTTAAGGTGATAGGATTTATGTTTTCTCAGTCTGTTTAAATATTGGTATAAAAAGGATGAAATTATGTAATTAGAAGTTAATATCTGTTTAAATCCTCACTTAAATTTCTAAAATTGAAATTTGGTTCTCTTGCACTTGTAAATTAAGAGTAAGAATTTGGAAAAATTACTTGAACTTACCTCAAAGTTTTGAGACTTGGTGTGTACTAAAAACTATAAAACACAGAATATAGAAAATAACAAGTCCTATGTATTAGTAAAGAATTGAGATCAGGTAGATAAACCTTTACAAAAGACTATTGTTGGATGAGTCTAACTTAGTAATATCTATGATAATATTGGTATTTACAGTTAAAGTTAGATTGCCCTAAATAATAAATATATATATATATATACAGTACCCATGTGCTTAGTCATTCATGTGGCATCCTCATGTTATTTTGGCAGAATTGGTATCTGTTTTATATGTTAGTTATTTAGATACTAGTCAAGTCATATGTTTGAAAATAGTATTATTATATACACTGAATTTCAAAAAAGATTGTCTTCTGTTATAACATGTTGCTTTTAAATGTCCTCTAATGGTGCAACAAACGTTCTTGATCTGCTTTCTTTGTCACCGACTAGAGTCTTGTCCAGTTTCACCCACCGGCACGGGCACACAAGGATACAAAAATATCCAATGAGTCGTTTTTGAACATGTCGATAATCACTTGCAGATCATGCAATTGAAATGAAAATGAATCTGATTGTATGATAACTATCTATCTTGAAGATGATAAAACTATCGGAGACAATTATCAAACTTGTTCGATATTATCAATTCTGCCGGGAACGTGATAATTTTGCCATAAAAGCACAGGGTTCCTGTACCTTAAGGACAAAAATTTGAGGACAATGTTAGGATTGGTAACTATCTGTGACTGTCTCATGCTTGATAGGCATTAAGTGAAGAATGTCAGCATTAGAGCTTTCTTAAGGAATTTCTTCAACTTTGAATTCAATTTTATTGGAATGGAAATAATTGGAATTAAATGGAAGTAAATTTATACACATGTACTTATTTGGCATCTATAACAGTACAGAAATTTATATATGTGTCGAAATTATCAATGGATGAAAAACGTCAAATTGTTTTCTGTATTATTGTATATTTTGTGACAGGAGACTAATAGAATCAATTGATTAGTGATCTACATTAATATTTTAGAAGCTTTTTACTTGATTGCCTTTTTCAGACAAGCAACATAGTTTTCATTTTCTCTTGAGTATTCGATATATATAACCTAATAATTTTTACCAATGTCATAAAATCTTTCAATATTACAAATTATCCAAGATAACAAGATTTATGACTGCCATTTTATGCATTATGATTCTCGATATGATAAGTGCACTACATGTAGAAGTATTTTAAAAAGTACAGTAGTAATATTTAAAGATAAAAATACAATGTAGTAGTGTTAAAATATAAGTACAGAAGCAGTATTTGAACATAACAAAACAGTATCAGTATTTAAAGAAAGTACAATAGTTGTATTTAACTATTAAAGTACAGTAGAAGTATTTTAAGATATAAGCATGGTAGTAGTGATGAGAATTAAAAATATAGCAGTAATATTCAATGAAAAAGGTACAGAAGTAGTAGTATTTTATTATAAAAGTGAAATAGTAGTATTTGAAAATAATGGTGAAGTAGTGGTATTTAAAGATAAAAAGTATAATGTTGAAGTATTTAAAGATAAAAGTACAACGTAGAAGTATATAAAGATAAAAGTACAAAGTAGAAGTATATTTAGTTGTATTCAAAGATAAGGAAAATGTGGAAGTATGTGAAGATAAAAGTACAGTAGTAGTTTCTAGATAAAAGTACAAAGTAGTAGTATTTAAATATTTAAAGATAAGTATTTAGATATGAATTTAGTAGTATTTAAAGATAATGTAGAAGTATGTGAAGATAAAAGTATAAAGTAGTGGTTTAAAAGATGAGAATACAAAGTAGTAGTATTTAGAGATAAAAGTACAATGTAGTAATATTTAAAGTATACAAAGATAAAAGTAGAACAATTTAAATTTGGTAGTAGTGTTTTTAAAAAAAAGTACAATGGTAAAATTTGTAAAAAGTTCAGTAGTAGGATATAAAAATGTACAGTAATGTACATAGTGCAGAGAAATTACGAATCGAACAGAGCCATTTTACAACACCATCCAATAAAAAGATAGAAATATCTACTATAGCTAGTAATTATCATATAGAAGTTAATCCAAGTGATGTTGGAAATAATGACCGAATAGTGATACAAGAATTAATTAAAAATCTAGCTCAAGTTAATCAACTAGATTCTTCATCTCAGAAAGAATTCAAAGTTGTGGTGCTAACAGAGGTAGACAGATTAACAAAAGATGCTCAACATGGTTTACGTCGTACAATGGAAAAGTACATGGCAACATGTCAGTATAATAGTAAGATTTTTCGCTTGAAATGAAATGAAAAATAAATATTCACTGAAATAACCTCAAGGATATTCTTGTTCGTCATAAATATATGAAGAGATAATCTGGATAAGGGACAGGTTGTTTTTAATATTGACTTTCAATTTATTATCACTTCTAGTATAGTAGTTTATTGATAGAATAATCACCTTTAATTTAGTAGTCATAGTAAATATTAAGTAAATATATAAATAGAATTAAATTCATAACCATCAGTTTCTATATTCTGATTCATACTTATTACTATGATTATCTGTTATTAGGTTTTATATAGTTATTGTCTTCAAATATCAAGTATGAACTGCCATCATTGAAAGGATCTGCTGTTATCCCCTTTGTGTTAAGATCTCCTGTACTCCAAACAGTAGAAGGATATTCTAAATCCTATAAAGATCTTATATACATCCCATTTGTGATAAAGATTTTGGGTAAGGATTTCATATATTTTGCTGAAGTTTATCATATATTAAATTATGTTCATGTCAACTATAACATGCTGTGGATTGACTTTAGCTCTTCTTCATTTGTTTTGTCTCAGCTGTGTCCTAGCAACAATTGGAGTCTTTAGGAAGTATTATGACATTTTCATGAGGCTTGAAAAGAGCAAAATCATCTTCATCAGCAAAAATTTCAATCATTATTTGTAAAATAACATCCCATTTGGTAAATATAGGTTGTACATTGTGCCTTTTGCAGAAAAAATATTGATTAGGAGATGTTTTTTAATTTCCACGCCTTCAAAAGCTAACATATTCTTTACTCTTTAAGTTATAAAGACTAAGTCTTTTGTCATGCAAGAAAAAAAATAGCTGTCACACCTCAATAAATTAGAAAAAAAATTGTGTTGGAGAATATTCTTAACCATCAACCAACATAAGAGTTCAAAAAGGGCAGCCCTTGATATAAAAACTATTTGTACCAAAGTCAATATTTATGTTTCAAGGTTACTCAATATATTATATTGAATAAATCAGCTTTTGTGTTCAAATATTTTGTAAATACATCTGAAGCTTGAGCTTTGACTGGACTTAATGTGATATAATCTATTACATATTTGGTTTACCAGATGATCGAGCTCAATTTCAGCCCAGATTTTATGGATATCAAAATATCATCGATGATATCTTTTGTAAAATACTACCAACTGCAATACAAACATCCATTTTATTCCTATCTTGGCTGTTGATGTTCATGTAATTGTAAATAATAATTGATTATATGTCTTAGTTTAAGTTATAAAATGTTATTATCTTTGTTTCATTTAAAAGCTTTAAATGTACTCAGAATAATGAGGGAAATATTTACGTAAGGGTGTCCACCGTTTCTAAAAATAACCTACTCCACCTTAGAAACATCCAAATTTAGTTATTTTGTACCATGAACAACCTTCTAATTGGACTCTATATTTTGATTCTGGTCTTGTCATATAAATATTGAAAGGTTTGAATGAAAATATGGGGCGTTTAATTTCACTGTATTGATATAATTTAGGGCGTCAATAAAGGTTAACTGTTAAATTTGAAGGGTTGACTTAATGTCATTTTGTACAATGACAAGCTTATTTTTGGCTTTCGATTCTTAATTAGATAAATTTACTTGTGAATTTCCGTTGAACCTTCACTTGTTGACATTTCAATTTACTTTCATTGATAGTTTTATTCATTTTCTCTCCATAAATTGGTAACATATTCCTGTTGTTTCCATACCTAATTTAATATTTCATGAAAATACCTAAAATAAAAATTCACTCATTGGACTCGGCGTTTTATTTACTGTTTTCATAAGCCAATTAAGGAGCAATGTGATAGGAAATTTAACTCTGTATTAGTTTCATGTATGGTCAATCATGGTATTGAAGGGCATGCCATACTCCAGATATATCAAATGGCATGTCATACTCCAGATATGTCAAATGGCATGTCATACTCCAGATATGTCAAATGGCATGTCATACTCCAGATATGTCAAATGGCATGTCATACTCCAGATATGTCACAGTGGAAGGTAACAAAATAACAAAATAATGTGTGCAGCTTTTTATAGCGAGACTTAGAAACTCCCTCAACTATGAATATTAGGTGATCCAGAAAATGAGATGCTAAAAATTTTTTCAGATCATGAATGGCATTTGGTGAGTTACCTGTGGAAAAAACACAAAACTAAACCTCCAGATTTTTTCTATAATCCGATTGGTTCTATTCATTTCAGGTCATTGTTCAAATAAAACAAAACACATCTGTCAGTCAAAAAAGACAGGCAAACTAAAAATATATTCAGGAAGTATATTTTAAAAAATAGACCGAGGCTTAACTTGGTCTTCATGTTTCAAGATTCATGCATGGAATAAGAATGGAATTTTTGACTTGATTGTTTCTTTTTTAAATCTGAAAGTTACTATTTTTAGTCTCATTATACAAACAGAAATCATGGTACTACTATAATTAGACTATAACATGAGAAAAGATAAGAATATTGATGAAGTTTTACCTGACTTAAAAGGTGTAAAATATTAATGAGGTCTTAAAGTCGGAAGTCATTTTGTTGTTTGTTGATTTGGTTTTTGTTTTGTTTTAGGTTATATTATTGTAGGAGGAGTGAGATTTAAGGTAGTCATGATTTCGTCTTAATTATCATTAAAGGGATTGTTTCAATCTCAATTCAAAATTGATTCAAAAAATATAACAAGTAAGGAAAATTAAAATTAAAGTTTTCTGTAAAAAAGGTGTTAACTGTTTTTTAATCTGTTTTATCGCTTGGCAACTACTGATTTCTTAACACTTTGTTTAGCTCAGTTAGTATTTGGTGATGTTGTTACATAGCAGGTGATAAAGTGCTTTGTGTTTGAATCCATCCTTAAAGTTTCAACTTTCAATCCCTTCTACTTTATCCTATTAGTGAATAATTAATAAATTATCATTCAAGATATGGTATTGACTTTTCTATTCATTCCACTATTTCATTCTTTGATTTTGTAAAGATTATGGATTTGTATAGGTTTTCTCCTTGCACAATATTGTTAAGATTTAGGGGGTACATTTTTATGTTATGTATTTTTGCAGGCTCAGTGTCAAAAAGGCATAGTCCTAGTTGATTACCCAATAAAGAAATCATCATCATCATTATTATTATTATTATTTTGACAGTGTTAGTAACTTTATGTCTATACTACCAAGTTTCATTTTTTTTAAATCAGAATCACCAGACACAGTAGACTTATCTCCCCTTATTTTACTTGATGATACATGACATTGATTCTCTGTGAGTTGAGAAATTATTCTCATATTCATGTTAAATCATGTAGAATTTGGGGAGACATAACTTTTGACAGAACAGAAATTAAAATCTCCCTTCATTAAGTATTTAACCCAAATCTCAAGAATTGGTGCAACTCTATCAAACTTTTTGCCAAAGAGGTAGTTTTGAAATGTATTTGGTTGATGCATCTTGTATGTAACATTTGATAGACATTTCTCATTACAGCAGTTACACAGTTACATGCAGACCATACACAGTCTAGCTTAGTTGTCACTTGTCACTCATTATCTCAATGTCATTTTAAGCTGCGTACATTAAATTAAACCAGATTAAAATTTCAATGTTCATTCATCATAAAGATGAAGGCCTACATATATCGTGACATGTCTAACAACAGCACATATAATTACAGGAAGATATTTAACAACTCTTCCTCTTATTCTCATATTGTCCTCATTTTACATATTAACTACTGGAAATTTATACTTGACATATTTACAAGTTGGCCGGAGGCTGAAATAAAATGTCTCTAGTCAGCTTTCTTAAACTTGATTTACTTATTATGCTTTAGGATGATTTATTCTTACTCCACAGTTTTGTTTCATTATGACCAGTTCTGCCGAAAAAACACAGACCTATGTGCAGTTTATTTGGTACAAAGGCATATCAAAAACATAGTTGAGATTAATGCATTAATTATCCGACTCTTAGACTGTGACATTGACAGAGCCGCTAGGAGGATCTAAATATTCAAATTTTGGCAAACTCAAAGGGGAAAAGAACTTGCAATTATGAGTTCAGATTAACATAATATGCCTACATGATACTACACCAAAACACAACTAGAAGAAAGAGTATTTCTCCTTGACAACCAATCCACTGCATGATGGACTCTTGGGTCTGTTGAATTACATATTGCTACAAAACTTAAGTTACTTTCCAGTGATATAGATTGTCAAGAATTCTTAGATCAACAGTTTTGATTTCCAATTATTGATTCATAAGAGACAATAGCTGTGTGTTGTCTATCCAGATACAGATATATAAGTATAGAATTTGACTGTATGTGTAATTCTTGTGAAGGTTCACCCTCTGGAAATGACAATGGGAATAAACAGGTCATATCTTGACCTAATAAAGGGTTGAATGGACTGTTAACCTACTTGAATTCATCTCACTTTATATTTTCTATAGAATTCTATGTTACATGGACATGTATATAAGTATGTTTCTATGTAGAAGAGAAAGGAATATATCTATTATAAAAAATGAATAGAGACTTATTTATCTAGTAGAGTCAAATGATGAGTATATGAAGTTCCTAGGACATACCAATTTAATTGATTGCTTCGTTCCAGGATTTACTCTAAGATAAAGCTGTGAATCCTGATTTTCTAACATATTTCACAAATTACATCTTCAAAAAAGTGCATGTTTATTGCTATCTAAATATTTTACCATCAGATAGATTTGATGCATCTGTGTGAAGGGAGCCGAATTCTTTTACTAAAAGCAATTTGTTTTGACTATTTAACACGAAGATGTTACCTATATTTTGGCATTTTATAAGAAATAGTAATCAGGTGAATTAGAATATTTCATGTTCAGTATATGTGACTCTTTATCTAACTCTTTAACTGGAATTTAATTGACAAGTAGAGCTAGCTCATCATAGTGTTTCAGCTTTAAAAAGCCAAATAATGACAAGATTTAAAAGAAATCCGAATAACATAGATTCCTCTCAATCAACCGCAAACCATACTATCAGAAATAACATGGAATTATTTTGAAATGGCCTCAGAGTGTAAGATATAAGAATATATGTATAAGAATATAGAGGTATATTGTGAAGATCAGGTAGAAACAGGTGTCAATATAACACCTCATCTTCTAACAGGTAAGATAATCTAATCTTATAATACTTATCTAGCTTCCAATTATATTATTCAAGGTGGTCATATCCTAGCATTTAAAACATTGTCTGATATTTTCTCTATGATGTAAACAACATAACAGAATTATCATCTTTCTATTTTCAAAAGCTCAGTTATAATATCTAACTCAATTATAATGAAATGAGTCCAAATTATTCGCATTTATATTATCTAACAACTCAAATATCATGAAATGAGTCAAAATTAACACATTAATATTATCTAACATCAATTATAATGAAATGAGTCCAAATTATTCACCTTAATATTATCTAATAACTAAAATATTATGAAATGAGTCAAAATTATTCACATTAATATTATCTAACAACTCAAATACCATGAAATGAGTCAAAATTATTCACATTTATATTATCTAACAACTCAAATATCATGAAATGAGTCAAAATTATTCACATTTATATTATCTAACAACTCAAATATCATGAAATGGATCAAAATTATTCGCATTGATATTATTTAACAACTCAAATATCATTAAATGAGTCAAAATTATTCACATTTATATTATCTAACAACTTAAATATCATGAAATGAGTCAAGATTATTCACATTAATATTATCTAACAACTCAAATATCACGAAATGAGTCAAAATTATTCACATTTATATTATCTAACAACTCAAATATCATGAAATGAGTCAAGATTATTCACATTAATATTAAATAACAACTCAAATATCATGAAATGAGTCAAGATTATTCACATTAATATTATCTAACAACTCAAATATCACGAAATGAGTCAAAATTATTCACATTTATATTATCTAACAACTTAAATATTATGAAATGAGTCAAAATTATTCACATTGATATTATTTAACAACTCAAATATCACGAAATGAGTCAAAATTATTCACATTTATATTATCTAACACTCAAATATCATTAAATGAGTCAAAATTATTCACATTGATATTATCAAACAACTCAAATATCATGAAATGAGTCAAAATTATTCACATTGATATTATCTAACAACTCAAATATCATTAAATGAGTCAAATATCATGAAATGAGTCAAAATTATTTACATTTACATTATCTAACACCTCAAATATCATGAAATGAGTCAAAATTATTCACATTTATATTATCTAACAACTCAAATATCACGAAATGGGTCAAAATTATTCACATTGATATTATTTAACAACTCAAATATCATGAAATGGGTCAAAATTATTCACATTTATATTATTTAACACCTCAAATATCATGAAATGAGTCAAAATTATTTGCATTAATATTATCTAACAACTTAAATATCATTAAATGGGTCAAAATTATTCACATTGATATTATTTAACACCTCAAATATCATGAAATGAGTCAAAATTATTCACATTGATATTATCTAACAACTCAAATATCATGAAATGAGTCAAAATTATTCACATTTATATTATCTAACACCTCAAATATCATGAAATGAGTCAAAATTATTCACATTGATATTATCTAACAACTCAAATATCATGAAATGAGTCAAAATTATTCACATTTATATTATCTAACACCTCAAATATCATGAAATGAGTCAAAATTATTCACATTTATAATATTTAACAGCTCAAATAACACGAAATGAGTCAAAATTATTCACATTTATATTATCTAACAACTCAAATATCATGAAATGGGTCAAAATTATTCACATTTATAATATTTAACAGCTCAAATAACATGAAATAAGTCAAAATTAGTCTTAAACTTTTGACTTTTTAGAATGTTTTAACTCTGTGGCAGCATATAGACCATTTTTTGAATTTCAAATATCGGTAATAACCAATATATCTAGGTTTTGCCATCTGTTTTGATATCTGTTGCAGACATGTTTTCAGATATATTAAGGGATATGTTTCTCTTTAGTATATAGTTGAGCAAAAATAATTTTTGATCTACAAAACAGTGGAATGCCCCTTATAAAGTATCAAGTAAAAGATAAACATTGTTGTTAATATAGTGCTCTATCAGGTATTTTGCTTTGGTCCAGCTCTGTGATTTAAAAAAGCTACCCTTACATTGACCATGCTTAAAGGAAGCAACACAAAATAGACTTGCATTAAGTGAAAGAGGGTGCATTTATTCAGAGAGAGATCATTTTTATTTACATGTCAACACGCTTTCAGGAACATAAAGAGAAACTACAGGTATATAATATGAGTTACTTACCAAGATTCTGACTCTCTTTAAGATTATGATATGATTTAGTGTTTTGGTAACATATTTATCTGATTTGATGGTTATTCATGTACCTATCTATATACCAACTGATTCATCGAGAGAAGATAAGAAAGGTTAAGAATTACATAATATTCTGGTATGTGCCTCTACCATGATTAACCACATGATCATGGTGAAAACATGTAAAGGAGTCAGTAGGTAAACATAATTGGGTGATGAAAAGTTTCAAGGAAAGTAAGATTTAGGTATTTGGTGAGGTAGAAATCTTTTGAAAAGTATCAAGTTATGGGCAGCAATATCAGATTTTCTATATTCACATCTGGTACAGATACTATTGTTTCCTCAAAGATGTAAAAATTTGTGTAGGATGGGCGACTTTTAAAAAATACAAAGTGTGACAAAAAAATATTTATAAAACAATCTCATATTGAATTTCAATTGTTTTGATTGGTGGAGAATGATATTTTCTTAACCAATGATAATACAGTTCATGTACCCCACCCTCCCTTCAATCCTTGTTTAGTTTGAAACATCAAAAGAATGCGACGTCATGAATGGAATATTCATATAACCTTTGAACTTCTCATGTTTACATCATGAATTGTGACTTTACACGATAATGTACTCTCTGACCCTAACATTAGCTCATAATCCTTGAGGATGTATTTAACTTCCGATTTTTTTTATATATATAAGATCTTGTGGTTTCTCATGAGTGCACCTCAAATTGAATAACATT